TTAACCCTTTACTTCATCTTTCTGGCTTGCAAGCCCTCCTTGCTTTCAACACATTTCTTTTCTTTTAAATACTCACACCTGTCTTTTTCAATCAACTTTACCTAGCTACACTTATTAATTTTCCCCCTTTTCTTCCCTATTCAATCTTCTTTCATGTATTTGTTCTATAAATCAGTCCTAGTTCATTCCATCACCAACCTACTCAAAGCACATATTTCATAATATAATTCACATTTATACATTAGCCTACTGCTGAAGGCTCTTTATTTAGTTCTTTCACTGACTTCCTAAACATTTTTTCAACCAAATCACTTTGCATTTTCTTCACCTTTTATCATGGTTCCTTACATTATTTGCAATTATATTTTTTTATCTCTAACATTGGAAACAGGCATTTTACTTCATCTTTTGCAGCAATAATTTATATGCATTTTAACTCATCCAGTCTTTTTCATTTTAACATTCTACCAAATATCTAATTATGCCATGGTAGCTCCACACAGTTTCATGGTACTCGATTACAAAACTGCTTCTAGTCTGTTCCAAGCAATTTCCATATCCTCTTTCTTTATGTCTACTTGCCATTTATTCAGATGGAAAATGAATTCTAATACTTTTCATACAATAGTTATACTTCCTATTCTGCAGTTATTCTGATTTTGCTCTATTTTTTCATTTTACTCCATGTTCATTTTCTTCCATAAAACTATTTTTCCATAACAAATAATAGCTTGTACCATATTTGGAATTTCTCTTCCCATTATCATTAATTTCTTACAATTTTCATCATAAATTCTATTACTCCATTTTTAGATTTATACTAATTCCTTTTTGAAGTGTGCCTATAAATGCTTAAACCACATATTTCAAACGAGGAGGTCTTTTATTAAGGCCACAAAATAGCCACCATTCTGATTCATTCTTGGAACTCTGAATGTCTTAATTACTTTTTCTATACTCTCATATTTAAGGCAACAAAACAATTATTTTTCTTGGATCACATTCATTCAGAAAGTTGCACATTTTTCTTTAAATTTAATTCCTGGGTCGTCTATTATTTCCATACATGTCAACCTAGTCAGAGCGGTTTTAAAGAAACTGCGAGCCGCCCACCTATATGATGAAGGGGTATTGCAGCCCTGTGCGTATACATCCAAGAAACTCACCGAAACGGAACAGCACTGGCCCATGTGGGAGAAAGAGGCATACGGGATACGTTGTCACTCACGTGGCGCCAGTTCCTTGAAGGCAACAAAATCCCTTTCCAAGTGTGGACAGACCACAAAAATTTGGAAGCCCTGAAAACACCCAGGAAGCTCAACCCCAAGCAAGCTCGCTGGTCCCAGAATTTTCACCAGTTCCAATTTACGCTCAAGCATTTGCCGGGGGGAAAGAACTTCCTGGCAGATGCACTATCTCGCATGCCCCAATATAACAGCACGCGAGCCACCAACTCTAAACCGATGATGGTAGAATCACAACTGGCAGCACCTGGGATTGTCGCTGGAAGGACGGTGGGGTGGGGGGCTGCTTGGGAACACTTAAAACCTTGAATGGTAGGAGTGGGCCGTCAGGTCCTGTCTAGAACACCTGCAACCATCTTCTCTTAATAAAGATGCCTGTTGGGAGAAATATTCCAAGAGTTCTGTCTTCTTAAGATGCAAAGTGGGGTGGGTCCTTACAGACTGTGTCATGCAGTTGTCACTAATCTATGGAATCAAACTTTCATAGGAATCCATAACAAACTGGATCGCACTAGTTGATAGTTTCTTTTAATTTATTTTATCTATTTTCAATATCTAATGTAATTCATGTTCCTTATGTTCCAAATGCAGTCTTCTATATGCCAGAATCCTTACCACATGGTGGCTAGATGTTGAGTTCCACTATCCAATGAAGGTTTTCACACACTGCTTTTCATATATGAAGAGTTTGTCAAACTAGGCTTTCATATAATTTTTTTAGTAGGAATTAGAAGCTATAGAATAAATTATATACTTCATTGATATCCTTGCTGAGAATACAATACTTGAGGGGAAACAAGTTTCTTTATTTGGCAGTACCAGATGCTGGTCAATAACTACCACATTTTATATTTGTGCTGGAATTAGGCATAAGAGAATGACATCAGAAAGGAAAAAGTGACATATGGGAAAACATGAAGTCTAAATTGAGAGCCTCATGGAAAAATGCTCATATATGTGACCATGTGTAATCTTAGCTGAATAAACTTGAGCATTCAAGCATAAAAATTTTGAGGTAATATATTTTGCTTTTCACAGAATTCTGCACTTCTTGACATGCCTTTGCAGCTCAGTATACCTCTTGGCTACTTTGAAGTCAATAATGATTAGAATACCAGGAGCAAACATAATTCTTGCTCAAACAGTATATGTGCTTATCATCAATTCATTTAGACAGGATTAAAAAAAAAACTATGTCAAGCAAATTGCATTGCTTTCCTTTGTTAACATGAAAGGCATGCCAACAATACCAGTTTGGTTTCATTGTTTACCAATCATTATTTTGGTCTGTAACATTACTTTAGAAAGGAATGACTCTACCTGTTGCTAAGCTACATGGGAGTACCCTGAGAAAAATTTTACACACGGATTGAAAAGGAATAGCATCTTATTGGGGGGTCCTGAATCACAATGTAAGTAGCAGACTTCATTTTAATTTTACAGATGAAAAGTATGCAAAAGTAATGAACTTCATCAGATTGAGCAAAGATGTCTTAAAATATGTCAGTAAACTAAGACAGAAAAATTGTTTGAAAAACAATAAAACTTCCTTTTAAAAAAGTGTTACATGCCCTTACTTATGAATTGTATTCTATTGATGTTGTTGAATGTTGTCTAATTAATAGTAGCTTTGGCTATCAGCCTTGGTATAAATAATCCCATAAATCACCATCTGCAAATGAGAAGAAATTATTGTATTAGGTAGTAACATATACTTGAATAAATTTTTAAGTATAAATTAGCACATCTTTATTCATTTAGTTTCAAGCATACTTCTGTGTTTAGCCTTCACTATGCTAGAAGCTGGACTACTGCCCAACTCAATGTGAGGTACAGGAATTCATTGTTTTAACAATTATAACTGAGTGTAGTGTAGAGGCCAAATAGGGAGTAAGATGACATAGAGCTCAATAAATCCTTCACCCATTCTCCAGGAGTGATTGCACATCTGCAAGTACATGGAAAGTAATGTTGGAGATAGAGCTAAAACCTGAACTTTTTTATTGGGCATAACCATAGAGAAATATGACAAGGGGATAATCTATTTGATGTTGCACATCTTGACTGCTGCTAGACTGGCATTTGCACAAAAATGGAAGAACAAAGAAACTCCCACAGAGGAAGAGTTACTATATAAAATACTATCTTGCGCTGAAATGGACAGGCTTACGATGTAACTGAAGGATAAGAGTGGATCAGAATACTTTGAAATCTGGGACAAATTTTACTATTGGTGGGAATCAAGGAGGACTGTTGGGGTTACAGATTAGTGTTAAGATAGAAATGTATATAATCTTAGGCTAGCAAATAGAGAAATGAATTAAGTATTGTATAAATAACACATATGTATTTATAGAGATAAAGAACTAAATGTAAGAAGAGAAATAATTTGATAGAAATGTTTATACTGGAATGTTATGTCATGTCCAATGTTTTCTTTTTTAACTGTATTATAAATAAAAAACTTAAAAAAAAATAAACTTGACATTTCCAAACACTTTTAAAAGGCAGTATACACTGGTTAACAAGCTATGTTAATCTAATCTGGATTCGGGGCATCTATGCTAGTAGCTAGATCTGCTTTATCCAGAAGAGAAAGTACTTGATCCATCAAATGAAGATGCAGAACAATACTCCTAACCATGGCCTCCACCAAAGCACCTATATAGATTTGGTCCTTATTTCATTTAAAGTCTCCTGTTAATACTACTCATGTCTTGTTATGTTTGACTGAAGGCAAAAGGAGAAGAGGACAGTAGAGGATGACATGTTAGATACTGTCATTGATGCAGTGGGCATGAATTTGAGTGGAACCTGGGAAACAGTGGAGGATGGGAGAGGCGTGGCTGGCATGCTGTGGTCCATGGGGTCATGAAGAATTGGATGTAACTTAGAGACTGAACAACAAAAAAAACTTGTTATGCTCATCCACTGCAGGAGTTGAGCCTAAGACTCAATACCTTCAAAAAGCTAATGAAAAATGGATAGCAAAACTATATTTTTACTATTTGGTGCCAAAATATCTCCCGTTATTAAACTAAATACTTTACAAATCACAATTTATGAATATTCCACCTTTATTTATACTTATTTCAACAGCAGAAGAGATCCTAGGAATTTAATGGAAATTATTCTTCCCTTCTTTATTCCAGAATCATAGGCATATATGGGGTAGTACTCCATTCTCAGTGCTTATTGACGAGCCTATTTGCAGACAAATTAGAAAACGTGGACACCTTGACATTTTCAACTGCCATACTGCAGTTTTACTCTTACAGTATCTCTTGCCTTGCCGCCCCCAACTAGGGGCATAGAGCAGGCTCAAGTCGCAACTGCGAAATATTTTTATATCCAAATTTCTTTTTTCTGACAAAGAGTAAAGAATTAAATTGGGAGACTAAGATGGACCATTTCTGGCTTTTTTGCCTTNAACTCTCTTAACACAGCACTGATTCCAGCACTGGCTCAATTTCTCCAGCCTCTCTGATGTCAAGGAAACATGTCACATCAGAGTTTAGCTCAAAGAAGAGAGACACAAACACTTAACTGTGTTTTCAAGCCATCAAAAGTAAAAGGAAGGCGTGACTGGAAAATGAAAAGTTTAATAAGTTCCATTATCATATGCCTGGAAGCTTCCACGGCTCATGATTATCATCCCCAAAGGCAGCTGTTATTCAGTGATGTCTCATGACTATATCCACATCAGTGACCAACTTTGGAAAGTATATCTATAAGTCCTTCAGATTGAATACAAAGAGCCGTCTATCTCTTACGATAACTGTGGCAAGCTTTCTGCATGTCTTTCAAGAAGTTGGGAACACCAGTCTGAAACAGGAATTGAAAAATACTTATCCTTCTATATTTAATGGTACACTAAGTAGCAACCAATTTTCTTTGCATTTCCTTTGCTACTACTTAAAAAATAAACATTCATTTAAGTCACCCATCTCATACTTTGATTTACAGAGAAGCATCACACCAGGGCTTAATATTTGCATTAATTCTGGGGACACACTCACTGGATTGCTGGCATCTCTTCTACACTAGCAGCCAGACACTATCATCCACACTTTTCAAATTATATAAGGAAAAGGGCAACAACAAAACAATATTCCACATTTCTAAGAGCCCATGAATCAAAATGACTCATTGATTTAACCTACAGCATCAATTCTCCAGAGCTTCAACTACTCTGCTTACCTTAGCTGCCCAATTGACAACCCACGAAGGAAGCCTTCCACCAGGATCATCAAAATAGGTCATGAAAACTTTTTAACCAAAAAAAGAGAAAAGAAACAAAGTGCAATTTTAAGTGCATTGTTTTAATTTATCTAGTAAATGCCTGAAATTTAGAATTAAGGATAGATGGAACTTATTCCACTGGAGTATTATTTCATGTACTGAAATTCCACATGGTTTGTGAGCACATTTTATTCCTTTTCCCTCCCCAAATATCAATATTTCCCCCCTTCTGCATAATGTCCTCATGTGGATTCTATTTTAGGCAACTTACTGCACATAAACCCAGTCCAGAAACAAAAGCAGTAAAGAATAGAGATGAATCTGAAAAAGTCATTCCCTTCCTTAATTCCATTGCCTCACCTATCCTTTGTAGGAAACCTAAATTTGGCCTTTACCAAATTATTCTTTTTTTTTGGGGGGGGGGGGCAGAGATAAGGAAGGGAAGCAAAGGGAAGGGAAGGGAAGGGAAAGATTACTGTGTTATCTCCATTCAAAAGTGTAAAAAATCTTAGTCTTGGAATCATCCAAAAAACAAAAAAAAGATTGGATTACACTAAAAACCTATTTATCCCAGTATGTTATTCTAGTGTCCCAGTATGTTATTCTAGTGTCCAGTAAGTTCCATAAGCCCTATTCAGTTTTTTCTTCCACAACTGCTATTCAGAGATAGATAACCTCTGATACTGCAAAAATTAGACTGTCATCATGACTGCCAACTACTGATAATTCTTGCCTCCATAAGTTTGTCCAATCTCAGTTAAATGCTTCCATCATATCATTTATCAGAACCTGCACTAAAGGAATGAATTAATGAATTAATATAAGTTATATGGCTGCCTTTCTTATATAATACTACTCGGAGCAGCTCACAAACATAAAACCAGGAAAACAGAAAAAGCAAGATCTGGCACCTCAATCAACAATCTATTATACATCCAGCAATAAAATTCCTGGCATCCTCACCCTATTCCAATTAAATGCTTGCCACTTAATTGTGTGCCCTCTCTAAAAGTACTTATGGAATATGCCCCAAACCTCATTTCCGCTTAGTCGCTTTAGTGTAAATGCCATCAGCATACTGTACATGTGATGTGAGAATTTTTCTTCTCAAATGTGCATTTCCTCATGTTTGTTTGCAATTAAGTAAATTTATATTGAACTATATTTGCCCTACCCATTCTCCAATTAAGAATGCTTAAATGCTTTTAAGCATTCTAACTAATCTGCCATGATTAGCTAACGTAGCCATCTTGTTGCTTTTCAATTTGCCCATAATTGTTTTCAAACAGCGAAACAAATTTTTGGTTGCTATTGCTATTTTAAAGCCATTTGTTTTTTTCTTTCTGTTTTCTGTTCTTTAATAGGTTACCAATCTTCCAATTCCATAATGGTGAGTTCACTCAGGAGTCTCTGCCAAGCCTTATGAAAGTAAAGAAAGAAAAGAAAAAACTGTATCCCCATAGGTATAGGACATATGGATACGACATCCCTATCCCTATCCATAACCTTAATGCCTTCAAAGAACTTTAAAAGGTCAATGAGGCAGAAATTACCTTTCCAGAAAGTGTGTTGATATTTCTTCAGCAAGCTTTGATTTTACATTATGTTCTGACATGATTACATGGTCAATTCAAGAAGTGTTGAAAAACCTCCACCCTTCATAGAGCCTGGTGCTGCTGTGAATACACCAGGCATTTTAAAAGTTAAAGAAAGGTAGAAGAGGCTTCCTTGGCCACCACATACAGTTTTAAAAGTATATACATCCTCTCCCCCAATTGTTGCTAGCCAAATTATTTTTCCGTTACTAGGCATCCCGTTAAAAATCTGACAGCAGCAAATATTCAAATTCACTTCCAGAGGGATCCATAATAAATATTTTTTAATCCATAGGCAGGAAACAAAGAGCAACAGAAAGAAGCAAGGTGAAAATTAAATAGTAGAAATTGGTTAGCTGGTGACAGAGAATTATCTGTATTGGAATTTACAAACAATCATTGGCTGTAGGCCTGCAGTACTACTATGCACACATTCTTTCAGCAATATGTTTATCCAAATCTCTAACCAAAGGCATGCATTAATTTTTACAAAGGTATATAGATACTTGTCAAAGTCCTGAATTAGAATTTATTTTTTTCTGATCGAATCAACCATTCCTATAAAATTATATATTCATTTCTTACCTTTGCACCCTTTCTTGCCATCACTTGCAAAGGCCACACCTTGTTTATAATTCTTTACTCTAACAATCCCAGGCTTTTCTGAGAATTTAACAGTATTCACACTTTTAGCCAATATAACATAGATCTTCTGCCCATCAAGCTCCATATCTCGACGATCACGAACAAAAACATACTGTACTGAAGTTTAAGAAATAATCAGGATTTTAAAATTCAACATACATTATGTGTCCAGACACATCCCAAATTTAGGGAGCACCGATTCAATTGCATTTTGGGACTTTAAATTATTTTGGTTATTTTGCTTTTCCCCCCCAAAAAAAAGTGTAAGATGAAACAATAGCATGTATAAAGATCCTACTTTTTTAGCTTCTAATAAGGATTAATTTGTACACCATTAAAATTTTCAGAAACTGAGAAAAACTGAGATCACAGCAAGGTTTGTAACTATTAAAATTAAAAGTAAAATTACTGTCAAATAGTTGAAAGGATACATCTCTGTTTGCCAAGGGGAAGGGGAACTTCACTTCCCAGTAGATAGCTGTTTTGCCATCCTGAGTTTTCTCACGTACATCTACAAAGTAAAATGTATGAGAAATATATTTATTTCACTAAACAAACAAATGATGACTAGAAAGCATTTAATAAAACATAAATCAAGCTAGGTATGTGCGAGACCTCAATATGTGTCCCTTTTGCTCTAGGCCAGGGGTAGGCAACCTTGGCTCTTTTATGACTCGTGGACTTCAACTCCCAGAATTCCTGAGCCAGCATGGTTCGGCATGGAAACCTCTCCCTTTCCCTGCAGCATGGGGGGAATTCTGGGAGTTGAAGTCCACGAGTCATAAAAGAGCCAAGGTTGCCTACCCTGCTCTAAGTAGTCAGCATCTAGGGCCATGGTGGCGAGAGGCGGCACTCAGAGCCCTCTCTGTGGGCATGCGTGCCTTCACCCCAGTCCTAGGCCTTCAGCTGGGTTTTATGAAACCTTTTCGCTTTAGGCCTCCGCCGCCGTATGCAAAAACAAAAAAAGGTTCAATCAATCAGTCAATTTCAACTTCTTGCAGGAAAGTTGGAATTGATTGATTGAACTTTTTAGTTCCACCCAGTCTGCCATTACCACCGCAAACATGCCCACCCAATGGGCCACGCCCACCCGGCACCCGACGATACATAAGTGGGTTTTGGGTTGCAGTTTGGGCACTCTGTCTCTAAAAGGTTCGCCATCACTGATCTAGGGCTTTAAGTGGGGAGGCAGAATTCAAAGTTGTTTAAAGTCATGTGGCAAGTAAGTTGAATGAATCATCATTATTATATACACAACAATGTGAAATCACAGCTGCAAGTTCTTTAGCTGGTGTTGGCCTTCATGCCCAGCAAGTTCTTTTTTATTTTATTTATTCATTAAATTAATATGCTGCCCATTTCACTAACGGAAGCAACCCTGAGTTCTTCCCAAGAAGTTAGGATGACATAATGTATTAGCATAGTATACGTGTGGATCCAAGCAGTCTGATCTTCTGCAATGTACAGATTTTTCTAAGTGCTGTCCCAGATTTGGTATGGTGCTCAGTGTGCCGTTAATCGTGTGGGACCACCATGGCAGTCTTATGCCATATTTTTTCAACTATGATTTGCAGATCTTATACTTTGTGATCTCCTCCAATTCTTTGTTTTCTACGGGTAGTCCTTGACTTCATTTAATTCATTTAGTGACAGTTCAAAGTTACAATGGCGCCGAAAAAAGTGATTTATGACCATTTTTCACCCTTACGACGGTTGCAGCATCACCAGGGTCATGTAATTTACATTTGGCTGCTTGACAACTAACTCACATTTATGACCGTTACAGTGTCTGGAGGGGGTCATGTGATCCCCTTTTGCAACCTTTCTGACAAGTAAAGTCAATGGGGAAGCCATATTCACTTAACAACCGTATTACTAATTTAAGAACTTTCTTGTTATGAGCCACGGCTTTATCCGTTTGTATTTGGAAATCCCGCAATATTTTAAACATTCATTCTCGACTATTTTTTCAACTAAGACGTTCCATCAGTTTTTTGTTACTAGCACATGGTAATTTTTATAGACTATTATTATTCAGAATAAATTGCAGGTTAAAGAAATCAAGGACAGAAACCATGGCAGCAATTATGGAATCACTACATCTTAACTGCCTCTCAATGGATAGCAGCTTTAGCTTCCAAAAGTAACCCCTGAGAAGCTCAGAGCCAAAGAAAAATGAATCCCCCCAAACAGTCCTGACTTTTTTTAAAAGAATGCATCAGGAAAACGAAAAGTTCTACAGAGGAAGAATGGGAAAGAATATTAAGAGAAAGTATTTATCTATCATCATTTGTTTAGCCTCATTAAAGAAAAACAAAAAAGTACTTCTGACTCTGTTGCACTGGGGAAAAATATCTGTCATGAAAGGAGAGAACCATGCTGAGCAATTATGTAGAATCAAGATGTAGACAGATCTTTAGTCTCATGTTGCCCCCTCAAAAAAACCACCTTCAACATACATACATACATACATACATACATACATACATACATACATACATACATTACTGTATACAGTTCAGATTCAAAGAAAAGAAACAATTTTCCAAGCAACACAGTGGGATCTAATAGAGGCTGGACTTTAATATACAGTAGGTTGTGTCCCCTTCAATTATACTTCATCTCCCAGAATTTTCCAGCCAATATGGCCACTGATGACAATTCAAAGATCCACCTATTTGGAGTGCAACCAGATTGGGAAAGACTAGCTTATCAGATCCATAACATCTAACAATAAATTGCCTTTCCCACAAGAAACAGAATAGCACAGACAGATAAATAAAGCATAGTGTCTCTGGTGGAATGGTTAAGATGTTGGGCTAGGCCTGGAGAGGCCCTGATTCCGGTCCAGCTCAGCCCTTTGAGCTAATGATTCTTTCTCTAGTTACCTCACATTTTAGGGTAAAAGTGAAGGAGGGAATGAAGGAGGGAATGCTATGTACACTGCCTTGAGGAAAGCAGGTTATAGACATGACAAATTATATACATAAGATAAGAATAGTAAGTATGTGTCAAGAGCCCTCCTTTTTCCAGCAGAAAATCCATGGCTCTGTAACTTGAGCCCCTAGGACTGTCTCATCCTCATGATGAATCCTCTTCTGGCCATCTCAAAACAGCAAAGAACTAGGAGATACAAAATGGAGAAAGCTTTTTCTTGGATAAGGTGAGAAAAAGAAAAAGACAATTCTATTTCTTCTCATTATTTCTTCTAGCAGTGGCTCTATTATGAAATTCTTAGGGTGACAGTGAAGCAAAGCAGTGGACACAAAATCTTTCTCCTCCAATATATACATATATATATACATATATGCATATGTATGTATGTGTGTGTGTGTGTGTGTGTATATATATATATATATATATATATATATATATATATATATATATATATATATATATATATATATATATATATATATATATATGTATATATATATATATATATATATATATATATATATATATATATATATATATATATACATACATACATACATACATACATACACTTATTGCTTTTTAAAATATGGACATACCCAAGAGTCATGTTTTTACTTGTGTAGCGCTATATATATATATATATATATATATATATATAGGGAGTTCAGACAGATCGGTCTGATTGCGGACACCTTGACATTTTCAACTGCCATACTGCAGTTTTACTCTTACAGTATCTCTTGCCTTGCCGCCCCCAACTAGGGGCATAGAGCAGGCTCAAGTCGCAACTGCGAAATATTTTTATATCCAAATTTCTTTTTTCTGACAAAGAGTAAAGAATTAAATTGGGAGA